TGTAAATTAATAAAACCACTGTGAGAGATGAAAATATAAACAACCGTCTTCCAGTTAACCAGAGATCTGAACAAATACCCTTCTCTATTCCCTCACAAAATTCCACTAAAAAAAAAAAAAAAGGAATAAAAAAATTTAAAGATATAAATGCACAAGGACAAAGACAATGGGAAATGGCATACACGAGGTTTCAGGAAATCTTCTAAAACATGAGAAGTGAAGGAATGAAGCAGAGAGAGAAAGCTGAAAATCCAACTGCCTAGAGGAGAGGGAGCTAACAAAGTAAAAGCCAAATCATGCCAGCGAAGCCAGAAAGAATCTGAATTATGAGGTACCACTCAGAAAAGGAATTAAGCAAGAGTCTGGCAAGAGAAGGTGCAGTAGGGACACCTGGGTGGCATAGTCGGTTAAGCGTCCGACTTCAGCTCAGGTCACATGATCTCATGGTTCGTGGGTTTGAGCCCCGCATCAAGCTCTGTGCTGACAACTAGCTCAGAGCCTGGAGTCTGCTTCAGATTCTGTGTGTGTGTCTCTCTCTGACCCTCCTCTGCTTGTGCTGTCTCTCTCTCTCTCTCCCTCTCAGAAATAAATTTAAAAAGAGAGAGACAGAGACAGAGAGAGAAGGTACGGTTGAAAATCTTTGAAAAACACCATTAGGCTCCCAGCTCCTCTACTCTGAGGGCAATGTCAGGGGTATCAAACACAGCTAAGGTGGGGATCAGCCCAAATAAGTGGGGAGGACGGGGACGGACAGGCTATGGTTGGGAGTGTTAAGTGCCTGCATCATTCTCTCCCCTCCTTCCTTAACAGAACCCCAGATTTCAGCTGGGTATATGGCCGTTCTTAATGAAAACTGCTTTTTCTCTCCTACCCTTCTGTGATGTGGACATACGTTATAGGCCAGTAACACATAAGCAGGGTGTTGTGGGCAGTTCCCAGGAAATATGCTGGAAACTGAGCCCTCTGCCCTTCTCTCTTCTTTCCTACCATCTGAAACTTGGGTATGACTACTCTCTGGGCCTTGAGAACAAGGACTCCAGGTTTCAGAGAGCAGAGAGCTGGAAGACACCTGAGCCTGAGGAACTTTCCAGAACCACTATGCCAGCCTCAGAGGACCAGAACTACCTGTCTACCAACTTTTTACACAGGAACAAAATCATAATTTAACTCCCTGATGACTGGAGCTACATGCAACTGAATCCAACCCTAATAAAGGTGTCACACTCAACTAGATGGCATAAAAGACTGAAATCCCCAACCTCCATTTCCCCTTGATCAAATTTCAGAAAGCTGACAACCAGGCTTTTTCATGGAAAGAGACCAGAAGCTTTCTCTCTTAAAAAATAAACAAAGAAACAAAAACAAAACTAATTGCCACAAAAGACAGAGATCTGAAGTTTCCCTCCCCCACCTACCAAAAAAAAAAGTGCCCCCACATCACCCTACAGTTTGCCAAGGCTCTTCTCATCAATTTTTAGCTAATGCCACATTGTAAAGGAGGATGTCCATTCTCAATACCATAGTCATAAACGTATACTTAGGAAATTTTAATAGAGTTCTACAAGTTAGTAGTGATAAAAAGACCAGTCCATCACCGGACCTCTACATGGTGCTATGAACCAGTCCTTACCAAGCCAGCTTCTATTCTTTACAAATCAGCTCAAACCTCTCAATTCAAAAATTTCATTTAAAAGTTCATTAGGGGGGCGCCTGGGTGGCTTAGTCGGTTAAGCATCCAACTTTTGCTTAGGTCATGATCTCACGGTTCATGGGTTCGAGCCCCACGTCGGGTTCTGTGCTGACTGCCAGCCCAGAGCCTGGAGCCTGTTTCGGTCTGTGACTCCCTCTCTCTCTGACCCTCCCCTGCTCACACTGTCTCTCTCTCTCTCTCTCTCCTAGAAATAAAACATTTTAATAAAAAAATAAAATAAATAAAAATAAATAAATAAATAAATAAAAGTTCATTAGGGTATGTGCTGACTGCCAGCTCAGAGCCTGGAGCCTGTTTCAGAGTCTGTGACTCCCTCTCTCTCTGACCCTCCCCTGCTCACGCTGTCTCTCTCTCTCCTAGAAATAAATTTTAAAAAAAAGTTCATTAGGGTAAAACTATGTAAATTAATATTCAGCATACACAATTACCTAAGCATAATTATTAAAGTAAGATATTCCAGGGGCACCTGGGTGACTCAGTCGGTTAAGCATCTGACTCAGTTTCAGCTTAGGTCATTCATGATCTAAAGGTTCCTGAGTTTGAGCCCCCCATCGGGCTCTGCATGGGCAGCACCGAGCCAGCTTGGGATTCTCTCTCTCCCCCTTGATCTCTACCCCTCCCCGACCTGCGCTGTCTCTACCAAAAAAAAAAAATAAACTTCTAAAAACATAAATAAAAATAAAGTAAGATATTCCAGGGGCGCCTGGCTGGCTCAGTTGGTAGAGCATGTGACTCTTATCTCAGGGTCATGAGTTTGAGCCGCATACTGACTGTGGAGCCTACTTAAAAATAATAATAAATTTTTTTTAAAAATTAAGATATTCCACTTGCTTCAATGAATGAACATCTCTCAACTGTTTGATTTTTACAGCATATATACCCAAGGAACTTTTATATACACCTCCGTCATAAAACGTAACAGACTGTAGTATATCTATTAACTTATCCTGGCACACTAGAAGGGCAAGAAGTGAAAAAAAATATACAGTTGCTGAGTGAAAGGGCTAGAAGAGAATAATATCGAGGTGCCTGATGAAACACGGTTAAGTTCAAAGACACCATTTCTGCAATGACCCTAGTACCTCGTTATAGTTCTCACATTTACGCCTGAGAAAAGAATAAGGACTGAACGAATGAATGAAGTTTTAAAAGTTCACAGCAGAGCCCTATCACAATCACTATCCACTATTCCCTCTTGTACGTTACTTTTTTTTTTTTTTTAGTTTATTTACGCTTTTGGAAAGAATATAAGCACGAGAGGGGCAGAGAGAGAGAGAGAGAGAGAGAGAATCCAGAGCAGGCTCTATCCACACTGTCAGTGAGGAGCCTGATGCGGGGCCTGAACTCACAAACCATGAGATCATGACAGGAGCTGAAATCAACAGTCAGATGCTTAACTGACTGAGCCACCCAGGGCCCGCTGTTGTCTGTCAGTTTTGAAACGATGCACCAACTGCCTAAGAAAACTCCAAGCTCCTGAAGAGTTGGGACCAAACACTCTATTTAACAAGACTTATCACAGGGTTTGTTACACCACATGTCATGCCTTCTTAATACTAGAATGGAAGACCCTCACTAAATACTACCGTGGTCTACAACAGAATCGCTTTGGAGGGGCACCTGGGTGGCATCTGACTCTTGGTTTCCACTCAAGTAATGATCTCACAGCGTGGGAGATTAAGGCCCGCACCCGGCTCTGCGCTGACAGCACAGAGCCTGCTTCGGATTCTCCCCCCCCCCCAACTCTGTTCCTCCCCCGCTTGTGCTCTCTCTCTCAAAATAAATAAACCATCTAAGAAAAAAAAAAAAAAAAAGGACAGCAAAGGATCATAATCTCTCGGAGCCATCTAGTCAGCATCCTCCTCTTGATGAACGAGCCCTTCCCGGGTCCCTTTTACTACCACTCTGATCCATGTGGGATGGAAAAGATAAAAGGAGCAGAGAGTGACTCACACAAGGGCAAGCAAATTAGTAGATTTCCCATCATCCATGGGCTCAAACCCACCCAGAGGCCTCCCAAGGACTTGGCCAGAGTTCAGGAGAAAAGCACTCTCTCGTTTATTAAGGGCCACTGTAATTATAGTAGGGCTGGGGGGGCGGGGGAGGCACGTCTCCAATGCAGGAACAAGACTCACCTAGAATTAGGGAATCAACATGGATGTAGGATGATGTCCACATGCTTAAAGCCAAAGCAGCACTATGCCTATACTTTCCAGATACCAGGACAAATAAACTAGTGGAATCCGGGCTTGTCCTTGCGTCCTAGGACAGCTGTGTCTCTCCGCTGAGGCAAGGAGGGTATGTTACACGTAAGAAACGGGGCTCTTAACGAGGGAGCGAAAGGACACTTTTGACTATGAAGTGCTATAAAAATGTTGCCATCCTACCCGAAAAAGTACCACAAACGGAACCCTCATTAAATACAGCCTGAGCTCCGGACGCCTGGGCGGCTCAGTCGGTGGAGCGTCCGACTTCGGCTCAGGTCATGACTCACCGTCCGTGGGTTCGAGCCTCGCGTCGGGCTCTGTGCTGACAGCTCGGAGCCCGGAGTTTGCTTTAGGTTCTCTCTCTCTCTGCCCCTCCCCCGCTCATGCTCTCTCCAAAATAAATAAACATTTAAAAACAATTTTTTTTTAAATACAGCATGAGCCTGCCAGGATAACAAATTCACTCTCTTGGGCGCACGCCGGCTGTGAACAAACCGACTTGAAGCAACCTCTCCGGAACGTTCTGCCACTCGAGCTGCATTTCCCATAATCGCGGCTCCTAACGCTGGGAATTCTCCGTCGTGCTAACAATGAACTTAACAAGGAAGCGCCTGTCAAGTGACTGGACGTTCGCTCCCGTGCCCCAACTCCCCCACTACCCCCAGGCAACTACTGTTAGGAAATCCTAACCCGGCCAACAAAGTTTTGCGCGGAAGCAAACACGGGGGAGGGGGCGGCGTCTCGGGGACCCCCCCACACACACACAGGCGCGGGAAACTACTTGTGGGGAAACGCGCCCCGCGGGCACACCGCGCGTCCCAGGTCCCCCACGGCCCGGCTCGCCCGCGGACCCAGGGCGGGGGCGGGCGGCGAGGGCCGGGCGCGCGGTGTGCCCGCGGGGCGCCGGCCCGGCTCAGCGGGAAGGAATGCGGGCCGCACCTACGCGCCCGGCGCCGCCAGGGCGGGGCGGCCGGGCCGGGGCCGCGGCGGCGCGGCGAGGGGAGGGGAGGGGAGGGCCGGCGCGGGGCGGGGCGGGGGCGGCGGCCCGGCGCCCCCCGGCCCCCGCGCGCCCCCGGGCCCACCTCAGCAGCGTCTCGAGAGCGCCCTCGTGCTTGTCCAGCGGGCGGCCGAGCGCGGCGCGGCGCAGCTTGCTGAGCTCCTCCGCCGCGCGGCAGTACTGGGCCTGCTCCTCCCCGCCGCTCGGGTACGTCTGCTGGATGAACTTCACCAGCGGCTTGGCCAGGTCCACCTCCGAGGTCTTCTTCAGCTGGACCGAGATGAACGTCGCCATGGCGAGCACCCCGGCCGCCGCTCGGGCCGCACCAGACCGCGGGACGCCGACGAGGGCCGAGGCGCGCGGACGACCCGGCTGGCGGACCGGCGGACCGACGCACCGACGGACGGGGCTCTCCGCCCGAGCTCTGGGTCCGGCCACTTCCGGGAGCTCCCGCGCAGGCGCACCGGGCGCGCCGCCCGCAGTCACGTGAGGCAGCCGGGGCCGCGGAGCCGCGGGCCCGGGCGGGGGTGCCGCGGGGTCGAGCGACGAGGAGCTGGCCCACTGTCACCGGCGGAAGTCTCCCCTTGCGGCCCGCTGTCGCGGCGCTTTCCCGTAAAAGTAGCCATTCCTCCACTCGAGCGGCCTGTCGGGGAAGGAGCGTTCGTGCCCCCGCGAGAGTGTGCGGCGAGCTGTCCGAGACGTGGCAGCCGCGGGGTTGTGACCTGCGCGGTTCGCGAGGACCCGGCGGGCCCTGTAGGCCAGGTCCTGCCCTGGTGCCGCTTACGGGCAGGTAAGGACGCAGAAACCAAGGTGTACCACGTATCCAAAGCTCGGTAGGAAAAACAGGGTGCTTGGAATGTAGGGTGTCAGGGCCCCTTGGAAGAACCGGATTTAAACAAGACCACCAATTAGAGTAGGCTTCTCTGAGGCTGACTACCCACGACCTGCAGTTTGAGAAGATGCTTGACGTTGGTGGAAGGGAAGGGCGGCAACGGAGAACCTCACAGACCAAGGGGCAAGTGCAGAGGCCCCAGGAAGCAAGCACTTTCCCTTCAACAGGAAGTTGAAGCAAACTGTGGCAAAACCTTAAAAACCACACAGGAAACGGAATAAAATAAAGTTGGAAGAGTAAAGCAAGCATCATTCATGCAGAACCTTGTAGGCCACGTTAAAGAACTTGTTTTAGGGGCGCCTGGGGGGCTCAGTCGGTTAAGCGTTCGACGTCGGCTCAGGTCATGATCTCACGGTTCGTGGGTTTGAGCCCCGCGTCGGGCTCTGTGCTGACAGCTCAGAGCCTGGAGCCTGCTTTGGATTCTGTGTCTCCTTCGCTCTGTATCTGCCCCTTCCTTGTTCGTGCTCTGTCTCTCTCTCTCAAAAATCAATAAACATTAAAAAAAATTTTTTTTTAATTTGTACTATGGAATAAATGCAAAGAAAGCTGTAAGTGGGATGGATACGTTTTAACAAGGCTGCCCTGTGCATCGATCTGATAGTGTAGCCCTTGATACGCTGTAGAATCAAGTATACGATGTCACCTATGATATATTCCAGGCAAAAATGTTTAACTTGAGTCTATCAAAACTTTGCATCTAACAGCTTACTAGGAATGCAGGGGATAGAGGAGCCAACTAAATTATCTATGGGAAGTAACCAAACAGCCAGGAGGTGGAATGTTCTACTGGACAACCGTCCATCTCTTCAACAATATACTGCTGTGAAAAAAGCCACCGCTGCATGAAAAAACAAAAACTTTAGGGTACTTAAGAGTGGATTGAATCTTGGGGCGCCTGGGTGGCTTAGTCGGTTGAGCGTCCGACTTTCGCTTAGGTCATGATCTCGCGGTTTGTGGGTTCGGGCACCGCGTCGGGCTCTGTGCTGACTGCCAGCTCGGAGCCTGGAGCCTGTTTCAGTCTGTGACTCCCTCTCTCTCTGACCCTCCCCTGCTCACGCTGTCTCTCTCTCTCTCTCTCTCTCTCCTAGAAATAAATAAAAACATCAAAAAATTAAAAAAAAAAAAGAGTGGATTGAATCCTAGTATGAAGAGATTACCTACAAAATGCATTTTCAGGACAGTTGAAGGAATTTCGATATAGAGAGACTGAGCATAAGATGCAAATGTATTGCCTTGGAGAGAGGGAGATTATTCACTGAAGGGCAAGTCACAGAACATTATGTGTGTTACATATCTCACTTTGACTACAAAATGCACATACGTGTATGGGGTGCCTGGGTGGCTCAGTCAGTTAAGCAGCCGACTTCAGCTCAGGTCATGATCTCACGGTCTGTGGGTTCAAGCCCCGCTCGGGCTCTGTGCTGACAGCTCAGAGCCCGGAGCCTGCTTCCCATTCTGTGTCTCTCTCCCTCTCTCTGCCCCTCCCCCACTCATGCTCTGTCTCTCTCTCTCTCTTAAAAAATAAACATTAAAAAAATGTTAAAGATTCTAGGGTAAAAAAGACAGCCACGTTGCTATGTAGACAATGCATTAAAGAAAGGCAAGGTGGAAGTAGAGGGGTAAATCATGAGATCATTTCAGAAATCGGGCAAGAGATCATGAAAGGTAACATTAGCAGGGGTGAGCTAAGTTGATGCAATTTTGAGTTACAAATTGAAGGATTCACTGATAAACAGGAGTCGGAAGGTGAAGAGAAGGGAGGGATGAAGGATGGCACCTGGTTTGGGTGCCTGAACTTCTGGGTGATCAGTAGAATCATTTACTGATTGATACAAGGAAAACTGATGCATAATCTACTGGTGAGGGAGGGGATTGGGAGTGTTTGTACCCCCATTCAAGTGGAGTCAATAAATTGACAATTGGGTATATGGAATTAGAGCTTCTGGGAGAGATGGTGATTGGGAATCAGCAGTGAGCTGATTTTTAAAGCCCTGGGACTCTAAGGGAACACAAAGAAATAGAAATAGGTCAGAAGCTACCAATTAGGAAAGACAGTATCAGATTAGGTGTATTTTTAAGACAGAAGATGATAGATTTGCTTGTAGGTTGGGCTCACAGAACAGATGCACGGGGGCTTCAGGAGAACCTGAGAGGCAGAGTGCATGGAAAGAGGAGAGGAAAGGGGTAGCCATAACACGGAGGGGAGAAGGGAGGGATTCTCTTCTGTCAGAAAGACGGGGATAAGCCCGTTGCTGAGGCGGAAGGGAAGTGATCGTAGATGTAGTGAACTGTGCTGCATTGGTCAAGGGGAGGTAAGGTGAGGCTGTCTGATGGACCTTGGAATAAAATCCAAACTCCTTACCGCAGCGCGATCTATTTCTGCAGATCTCTTCCATTTCATGTGTTCCTCTTGTTCCTCATTTATGACTGTCCAGTCACACTGGTCCCATTTTAGTTCTCAAAATTACTAAGATCTTTCTTTCCTTATGTGACTTAGAATGCTTTCTCCCCACTTTCTTCGTATGTTAGTTGAACTGTCTCCTCCCCATCATCCCATGTGAAACAGATCCGCCCTGTCACTGGCTAGCTTAGCTATTGCTTATTTCCTTCAAAACACTTACCCTCACTGGCAAGTATTTTTGTTGCCGTTGATTTAATTTTTGTCTGACTTCCCCACTAGAATATAAGCTCTATAAGAACACAGTTGTGTTGTTTTTTTAAGCACTGGGCACATGGGAGATACTCAGTAAACATTTTTGAATGAGTAAATAAGTTTCACTGCTTGTAAAAAAAATTAGATTTCTACTATCAAAATGACACATCTTTCTCAATGAGAGGTACGCTCATGAATGTGGCTATCAGCCAGTGTAGTTAATTAGGCAACAATCAATGAAGCAGTAGGCCAGTGGCCAAAGTAGCATGACATATGCTTGTGTTCCGATAATAGCCAATTTCCTGACCGTCTCTTGTGACTAAATTCCACACTTAGCCTTCTCAAGGATGTCGGTCTCCTCTTGCTCACTCCTCATCATCCTCCCTGGACCAGGCATTCTTCTAGAGCTCATTCAAGACTCAGCTCCAGTTGCCTCCTACAGGAAGCCTTCCTGGATCTCCCTAGACCCCGCCACCCCCACAACCCCTGATTTCCCTTTGGCTCTGGCACACACCATAGGAGCTCAGGCAGGCTGCTACTTTCCAGCCTCTCCCCAGACCGAAGAGTCCTCATACTGTTATTTTCTGTTTGCCACGGGGCCTGTGCTGTGCCTGGCACACAGCCTGCGGTGAGTGCAGTGTTCGGGGAAGTGGCCTCCGTTCCTCTTTTCCAGCTTTCACCCATTTCTTTCCTCCTCCTCCCCTGCTCTTCCAGCGTCATTTCAAAACATTGCTCTGCTCTGTCTTCAAAGCACAACACGCCTTCCCTGGAAAACGTGGCACATTTGAAGAGTCGCATGTAAAATGAAATTCTGCGGGTCCACAGCCTGGACGTCCTCTGTAAGCAAAGCTCCTTGCACTCCCTTCTCTCAGCCCATCTATTTTCTTTGGCTAATTCTCATGACTCTTTTGCGTGCAACTTTGTATCTCATTATTTTTTTCTTCCTATTCTGTCAAGCATGCTCAGTCGTGAAAGACGCTTAGTAAACACTGGAAAACAATTTCAGAATCTCTGTCTCTCAACATCGTAAACTCTCCAAGGTCGCTGTGCTCCAAGTAGCGTGTTAGTGATGCAGACTGCTCTGATCTTCTAGCTCAGTTATCTCAACATGAGGCACACTTTCAAGGGGGGACGGGAAATGTGCCGCATCACACAGCAGTTTTCCACTGCCGCAGCCCTCGCTTGCGCTCACGCTTCCCTGGCTGGGACCTCTCACCTGGCCCCGTCAAAATGCAGTGGGACTCGGAAGGAGAGGCTTCCTGGTGCCCAGGAAGGGAGGAGGGCTGGATGTAAAGGAGCACCAGCGATGTGTCCCAAGGATGAGTTTCACTGCTTCCAAACTCACTAAAGGCAACGTTGATTTTCCATCCGTGTAATGAAACTCCGTAAAATACATTCTTGGACTTAGTCACCTCCATGTCGTGTTTTGGGGGGATCTTCCTCCCTCATAGTCTGTAGTTCCGGCGGGCCCAGATTGAACCAATGGAAATACTTGCCTCTTTGGAAGAAGAGAACCCGATGAAACCAGGTTTGAATTTCAAAATAAGAGTTTTTGAAGTCCAAATGGAGACCAGAGCCTGAAAGTATGCACTTGTGATTTGGGGAGGAGTCAAACTTTGGGAGGAAAGAGGCTTATGTAAACCAAGCCCATAAGGCCACAGAAGAGAGTGTTTACAATGAACGAAAGAGTAAGTAGGACAAGGATTCGACGTAAGGAAAATTCCTGCACTGCAAGAAAGAGAAGCCCTTGGGGGGCTGAGAGGAAGAGTCAGAGGGTAAAGTGCAGACGGTGAATGAGATGGTGATACTTCCCTCCACACTCTAGAGTGGTGGGTAGAGAAGGGACAGGGAGGG